CAGGGTTGGCTGGCATGCGGTGCTGGGGGATTGAACCGTGGTTCCTGTACTTTGTTTAGCTTAACTTGTTCTAAGTAGGTGCTTTAGACCACCAAGCCATCTCACCAGCCCCGCAGGTTTTGAGATTCTTGCCTCGCCCCACAGGGTGATTGGCACCTCAGAGACGCCCATCATCATTGTGGGCAACAAGCGAGACCTGCAGCACGGCCGCGTGATCCCGCGCTGGAACGTGTCCCACTTGGTGCGCAAGACCTGGAAGTGCGGCTACGTGGAGTGCTCTGCCAAGTACAACTGGCACATCCTGCTGCTGTTCAGCGAGCTGCTCAAGAGCGTCGGCTGCGCCCGCTGCAAACACGTGCACGCTGCCCTACGCTTCCAAGGCGCGCTGCGCCGCAACCGCTGTGCCATCATGTGAGGCCCGCGTGCCCTGCGGAGGGCAGCAGCAGTGGGGCGAGGAGCCTGCGGAAATTGAACTCGCAGTCCGGGCCTGAACGGCCCGCAGTCACGCACCTCCGCTGAAAGGCCAGGGCGAGAGGGAGCCCTGCAGAACTCCTCCACCCTCCCCTTCTCACACATTTGTCTTCCTGGGACAACCACCTTCACTGCTGTAGCTAGAGTAGTGTCCGCTCGGCCCGAGCTGGTGCCACATCCTTCTGGGATTGGGGGCGAGCGAGTGGCATGGAGGGTGGGTGAGGAGGTGCTGCTGCCTTGGCTGGGCCCCCACTGGTCCTCTCCAGAGTGTGTCTGTCTTTGACCAGTGTCCTCCTTTTCCCACGTCTGTCTGCCCAACCGTCTGTTAGTTCTTCCTTGTCTTACCGCCCTCCGATGTCCTTCCCTACCCCCAGCTCCACTCACAGGGCTCTCATTCAGTTCATCCCCTTGTCACAGATCCTGGCAGCTTTGGATGCCAGGCCATCTGGCCCACAGCGCCACTGGCACAGGGCAGAGAGAGCTGCGGGTGGCCCACGGACCGCAACCAAGAGGTCTAAGGGTTGAGGTCCCAGATCAGTCAGGGGGAAAAGGCTGAGCTCTCCTGTTCCAGGGAGACCTCCCTGCCCAACAGCCTCCAGAGACACAACAACCTACCTTCCAGCCTTAACTCGATGGTCCGTCCCTGCCGGGTGCCCCTCACCACCTTCCTGACTCCAAAGCCAGATCAACCCCTGGGTTAAAACTTTTGTTTTAATAGCATGGGGAGGGAACTTCCCCAAAGGACAGATTCCTTCCCATGATGCCAGGTTCCAGTCCTCTATTACCTCCTGCATCAGGTGATTTGGGGAGTGGAGTTTTGGGGGTCTGTAGGCTGTGGGTAGGGTGGTGCCAGGAAGGGGTCAGATTGTGCCAGTGATGATTCTGCCTCCCCATCCCACCCCACTCTGATTACCCCAAATTCTGCCTGCCTCAGATCTCAGGGTACCCTGATTCTTCTGGGCAGGAGCTGGGAGAAGAATTATGGGGACCGGTATGCCCGGGGAAGATATGCCTGCATCCCCACCCATAGGTGGAGGCCCTCAGGATCTGACACCCTGTGTCCCAACACCAGTTGGCCCTATGCCCTAAGTCACTCCACCCCATTTTCTCCGGCTGCCTGGCCGGGTTTCTACCTCTCGTCACCGGAGCTGATCACTGTCAGTTTTGTACCGATTTAGAAATAACAATAATAATGATTCTAGGAAATGCCCTGAGGGGTTCATGGGGGGACTTGAAGAGAGAAAGAAATGGTGCCATGTCCCTTGCCCCTGGCCAAAACAAGTTCTCTTCGAGGCTGAGCCCTTGGTCCTGGTCCAGTGGGAGGATATCAGGGACCCTTGGTTAAAGGGGGAAGGCACATAGAACAGTCCAGCTTCAGCCAGGGCTACAGCATAGAGGCCAGGAAATCAGGTAGCCCAGAATGTCGGTGCAGAGGAGGCTGGGGGAAGGTCATAGGTGGGGAATGTGTCATTGAGATCCAGTGTGGAGGATTGATGATTCTTCTGCTTCCCCCACTGCTCTCCACTCCTCTCACTGGGGGCAGCACAGCCCTACAGCAGCTGCCCTGACTTTGGGCAGAGCATTATATTGGGCTTCAGTCCCTGCTGTGCTCCATGACTTGGGCAAATGACTTGCCCTCTCTGAGCCTCCCTCTGAAACAGAGGAAGTGGCTCCCCTCCCCACACACACACTTTGGAGTGGCCAGGAGGGTAAGGAAGAGGGCTGCCCACTCTTGTCTTTGCACCCTTACCCCCTGGTTCACCAGTGGGGTGGGGTCCACAGGTGGCAGCATTTCCTGTGTCCTCCCAACTTTGAGGCACCTGAGGTGAGGGTGGGGGACCCAGACTTCTGGCTGCCCCCAGTGGGAACCATTGGAGTGTACCCCCCATTAACCTCCCCCCCACAGCCCTGCACTTCATCCCAGGTCTTGGGTTTCAGGCCCCTCCACACCCATTCGGAGTCTCTGTCCTTCCCACCACCCACCAGGGTTTCCCACCACAGGGTCTGGAAGTGCGCGATGCCCATTAGGCTGTTGTTGGAAGTCAGATTAAACATCAGGGAGTGTTTCCCTTGTTTCTGTACCAAGGTGTTGACTCTGTTTCAAATGGAAGCAGGGGATGTGTCCCTACAGTGCCTGCCTGCTGAGCTCTGGGTGGTGGGAGGGTGACAATGAAGTGGTTGCCAGTCCCAAGGCTCAGGTCAATGAGGAGATCAAAGGAGAGTTTGGGGACAGATCCCATTTCCACCAAATTCCAAACCAGGAGGAAACATTTTTCACTTGCTGTTTTTGCTGCAAACTTTTTATAACAAGACCCAATCCCCATTTCTCCTGCATTTTCTCCCTGCACAGGATTGATGCCTTGTGGCCTCTTAGGCGTAACTTCTGGGACACTGATACGTTAGAAGTAGCCAGCCCTCTTGCCCCTGAATGGGTTGGGTCCCAAGCCCAGCAGCCTAAAGCTCGAGTCTCTGTCCATGGTCGTGAGCTTCCAGCCACTTCCAGGAAAGAAGCTTGTTTGGCAAGGTTGGCAGAGTCTCCAGAGAGAAGCCTTCCCTCGCACCCAACTCCCTCCACTGAGATAATCCTTGAGGCTAAACTTTCCTACACCTCCACAGTCATAGAGTTGGGGAGGACAGATGCTGGGGCCTCTAGCACAGACTCACATGTGTTTGATGACTTGGTGTTTTGGGAGCAGGTGGCCCTGGTGAGAGGCAAGGAGTTGGGGGAACTTTACCTTGGAAATACATTAGGATACAAGGCCACCCCCCACCCTTTGGCTAATTCTGGAATTGGAATGGAAGTGATTGATTGTCCTTTTGTTCAATAGAACAGAGTCTATACTTGACGGACACCTTCCTGGCCAACATCATCTATTGAGATGACAGAAGCTTTGTACTGCCCTTGCATACATGGGCATCCATTTTTCTCTACTCTTTCTCTACCTGCAGGCTCGTCAGACCCAGGATTCCTCTGAGGGGGGCTGAGCTTGATCAACTTGCTGAGGGCCTCGGCCCCCCAAAGGCTGGGGGCTTTTCTTCCGTGGAGCTGGTGGCTCTTTTTTTCCTTCTTCCATCTCACTGGCTGAAACTCTGTCCATCTGGGATACTTCTCTTCTCTTCTTGCCCAGGGCAGATCTTAATGGCCTCTCCTTGAGTGGTGCCCTAGGGAGACTCAGGCAGAGGTAGGCCAGTGGCTTGGGGATTCGTGAAGGATTCTTCTCAGGTCTGTGGTCTCTCCGTGGCCGGATCCTGGGCCTCAGCTTCAGCTTGTAGATGGATGGGACCCTCTTGGGCTTCCGGAGTGTTCTCTTGCCTTTGCCCAGACATCCCTTGGCCTTGTCAGAGCTGAGGTCCGAAAGCAAAGGTGTGGAGACCTCAGGGCTAGTAGACACCTTAGGGGCTGAGCGGTCCTGCCCTCCTGAAAGTGAGACCTTCCCCATCTTTGTGCCTTTGGCACCTGGTCTTGCCTTTGTCAATGGCCCAGTCTCTCTGGCTCCTAGTTTTTTGCTTATGTTTCGTGGACCTGCAGAAACAGCTGGCTTACAGGAGCCTGCAGGGGACACATTCCAGGCTCCCAGGTCCACTTTAAGGAGGGATGGGGGACCCTGAGCCAGTTCCTGGATGACTTGGTCATAAAGACCCCCAGGCTCAGGCCACTGCCCACCCAGGCTGGGGACATAGACTCCACTTCGAGGGACAGCTGGAGGCTCTGTGCCTTGGGGATGGGCACCCTGCATCTCTAACCTCTTCATGTTGGTCACAATCTCCTCCTCAAGGCTGTGGTAGGTGGTTTGTTCCTTGGCCCTGTGCAGGGCCAGGGGAGTACACCTCCTCTTCAGCTCCTGTGGGCCCAGGTCCCAGGGCTTTCCAGCCTCTACAATGACCTGAGTGTCTGCCCACTGGTCCCCCTGCCTCCTCCCTTCCACAGAGTTGTCATGTTTGGACCCATCCAAGTCTCCTATGACATCCCTTAATGGGCTGGGACCTCTGTTCCGCTCTGCTGTGTGTCCTCTACTTAGAGTACCTGGAAAGCTTCCTGGGCTGGGAGGGCAAGCAGGTGGCACCCTGATGGGGACCTTAGTGAGCCCTTTGACAGGGGATGGAGAATGGACAGATGCTGGCTCCCTGAGCTGGAGGGATGCACCCTCAGCCTCCCCCCGGGGTGGCAGCATGAGGAGTTTAGCAGAGGAATGAGGCAGGGGAGATGGTCCTCTTATTGATGCCCCTTTGGTGGTGGCTTGAGGATCTTGGGGTCCCTGTGGGTTGGAGGCCCCAGCATAGGTTCCTCGGCTAGCCATCTCCTTGTGAGCCCAAGATGTGGAAGTCTTTCTGCTAGCGAGTCCCCCGGAGTGTCTGATATCTCTCTTCCCTGATGGGGTGCACTTTAGGTCTTGGTCCCTATGAGTGGGTGAGAATTGTGGACTGGGTGGGCTGTCATCAGCTGGCAGCTGCCTCTCAGACGAAGTGAGCAGCCTTTCCTGGGACCTGAAAAAAGAAAAATCGGAGTCTGGAAATAAAAACTTATCAAGAGCATAACCTGGCTCTGGGGAAGGGGGCGCTTTCCCCTGCCTGAACACCAAGCAGCTGTACAGCACCCCCACAGCAGTCACTGTTCAAGTCTCTTCTCCCTTGTTCCCCGAGTAGCAGATAGAAGGAAACCTGGCCCAGGCCTGGGGTAACTTCAGGTCCTGATTAATGATCCCAGTCCAGAAGGCTGGCAATCAGAGGACACTCACCATGTGGGGAGAGCTTAGTCTGAGCCCTACCATGAGATGGCAGAAGGACCTGGGGTGTGTGTGTTCCCTTTGTGGGGCTCAGCCTCCTTGCCTGTGAGATGAGCTGGCGTGTGAAGAAACTAGATGATTGCAAAGCACTGGGATGTTCTGAACACCTGGGATTTGTTAGGGTAGAGGCCCTGCTTCCTGTATATTTGGGTGGGAGTTCCCCCACGAACAGGAACTCCAAAGGAGAAAGAAGTTCCCTGTACCTTCCGAATGGAGCCATCTGTCTGAGGACCGGAGCCCCTGCTCTCTGCTTGCTGCAGGGTCTGGGGGAGGAGGAGGACGAGGGTGGTCTCAGCTTTCGGCCTGCAGCAGTGTATGTCTTCCAGTCCACGGGGGGAAGCGGGCTCTGTGAGCGGCTGATGGTCATTGTAGGCTGGGGCAGGGAGGGTCCACCCTGCATGCTCACCTCGTGCTGCACTGGTGGGGCTGGCGGCTTCAGGAAGCTGACTGGTTTGTGCGCTACCAACATAATCCCCCAGAGAAAAGAGAGGAGAAAGGGTTCAGATTCTGATGCTGGGGTTCCTTGCCCCCCTGTCCCAGCTGTGCCATGCCCCACATCCCAGTTTAAAGACAGTGGTGACTACAGTGGCGGCACCCGTATTTTTTCCTCACAGTAGGATGGGGTGGGAGCAGATCTAGTTAGAGGGTCCACCTATGGGACTTGTTAAAGCTGTATTTGTACTGCTGGTCCATGTCTTCTACATGTCTCCTACTTACAGTGTCTCCAAGTGCTGACCGAGATCACAGAAGGAATAAATACCTTCACAAGTCACACTTGGTGCCACCAGACCCCCAAACTCCTCAGAAATGCACCCTGACCATGTGCTGATTCCTCGTGTGTTGCCCACCACCTTGTGGCTGTAGTTAGTACCACACTGTGACTGCTCAGCTATAGTGTCACTCCTCCATCCTTTTTTTTTTTTTTTTTGGCGGAACCGGGATTGAACTCAGATCCTTGCGTTTGCTAGTCAAGCGCTTATCCTACTGAGCCATCTCCCTGGCCCCCCTCCATCCTCTTGAAATTCTCCCAAATCCCCACACCCCTACTGCACCCGGAGGTAGGTCCTGCCTCCCACCTCTGCCACTGGTCTCCCGACCCAGTCATGCTTCTGCAGACAATCCCACAGGGAGGGGCCTCTCAGAGGGGCTTACAGAGTGATGTGCACCGGCAGGGGTCATGTTTGTCCAGATAGTGGCCAAGCGTGTCCCAGCCACCTCCCACACGCACCATCACATGGCTCCGGAGGATCTGAGGAACCAAGGATGAGGTTGAGGGCAGGGTGGAAGGCACCCCCTGTTCCTGGGCCACCTGCAGGTTTGTGGCCTATTTAGGGGTACACCCATCTATGTACCCATGCACACACATGCAGATGCTCCCTTGAACAAATGTGTGGCTGGAAGCAAGTATATTTTGCATTCTATGTTCAGGAGTTGCATCAGATAACACATCTCGTCACAGGTGAGGTTCAAACTTCCAAACGGCTATCCCAACTGGACAAGGGATTCTTCAAGTATTGCACAGCACTTGGCCCTGGGGCACCCCCTTCTTTCCCTTCTAGCGGAGGGGTTTGCACCTGCCCATCCTTACACCTGTAATGTGGCCCTGACGCCTCTCAGATGCCCCTGATTTTGCCTCTGTAGTGTGTGTAGCAGAGCTTAACCCATGCTGCACAACGTTGGGCCGGGTCACACTGTCTCTCCAGGTTTCAGTTCCTCAGGTGAAAGCGGGGCCATAATTCCTGTGCCTACCTGCACCCTAAGGCTGTTGCCTGAGGGTCTGGCCTGCTGACTGTGCTCAGAGGTGTACCTTGTGCTCAAGGAAAAGGAACCAACCAAGTATTGGGGTGTGGGTGGGAGGCACACCTCAGACCTGTGTTGCTTTGCTCCACAGAGTATACCAAGCAGGACTGTGGGGGCTGAGTGGCGGGGGCTGCACACTGAGCACAGACTTGAAGACCTCAGGCCCCTTGTTCGGACTGAGCTTCTGGGTAGTCAGAGTGGAGTACAGTGGGGTGGGAAACTGAGGACACATTCTCCATCCCCTAATCCTGCCTGAAGGCACCCTCCACACTCAGTAGTTTCCAGTTCTTGCCCTTGGATTTGGGTGAGGTCTCAGGGAAAGGAACCTGACTGTGCTGAGCCTGGAGATCCACCCGAGGCAGACTTACCCTGATGAAGATGAGGGTGTTGGAGTCCCCCACTCGGTACTTCCCTTCAGACACCTTGACCATGGAGAACTGCACTGGGCATGTGCAGTGGCTCACCAGGTTCTGCACCTGCAGAATGTTGGTAGACAGCTCAGCTGTCACCTATCTAGGCACCCAAGGTTCCTTCAGGGCGGGGTCAGGCTAACCAGGGGCCTACCTGCCTCCAGAGCCACCCCCGAGCTTGCTGCTGAGATCAGGGCTGGGGGCTGACGAGCAAAGAGAAAGCTGAGAAGACTTTTAAGTGTGCAGGTGAGAACCAACTGTGACTGATTCCTTCGTGGATCAGCTGCCAGAGCTGTGGAGCACAGGCTAAACAAGCAGGTGCCGGTGGAGGCTGACAAGCTCGCGTCAGAGTCCTGTGTCCCTACACGCAGGCCCTTAGTTAGGAGACCTCCCCATGCTCCACATCCTTGTGTGGTAAAAGCATGATCAGAGCTAAAGCCTATGAAGCGAATCTGCTCTACATCAGGAGACAGGTGCTGTGACTGTCCCTACACTACAAGGACACAAGGAACCCATGACGGAGAGGTTCCATAATTTGCTCAGGGTCACCCAACGGTGAAGCAGAGGTGCTAAGCCTTGAACCAAGGGACCAGGGAGGATGGAGTATCCCTGTTCTACACATCTGTCCCTCTGGGGGTTCAGAGGCATGTGGCACCTGACCGGAGGCAGAGCCAAAGCTGCCAGCGGTTAGGGTTGGGGTTCAGCACAAACCACTTGGGCCTGAGGGTGCCTGTCGTGCCTCACCATCTGGTCCAGGTTCCGGAAGTGGCAGGGCCGGCGAAGGGGGCGTGCGGGCCGCGGGGGGTCTGGCGGAGGCAGTGCCAGGTCCTGGCGTAACTCCTCATCGATCTCCTCCTCCAGCAGCACCAGGGTGGGCGCCGCCACGCCGAAGCGCCAGGCACGGCGACCCAGCTCCAGCAAGCACAGCACCACGTTCTTCACGTTCTTGCGCAGCACCAGGTCCTCTGTCTCGAACATCAGCACCTCTGGCATGGGGCGGGGAGAGGGGTGCAGGCGGCCTTAGTCCCCTGCTGACCTGACTGTCCTGAGACCCGGTAGGAGACAAGATTTACAATCTTGGGGTTGGTCCGAGGTTGCTCAGGGGCTGGGGTGGATAAGACACCAGCCTCACTCAAGAGGCCACACAGCAAAACAGAGGAACCCTGGCCCAGCTGCGGAGTCCAGGAGAGGGTGAAGGGGGGCGAGGCCTCCTCCCACCGGACAGCCAGGAGCAGGAAGCTCGGCTGCGCTTTCCAGCTAGGCCTTCTCGTGTCCAGCAGGCTCCTGAGTCCCCGCGCCCAGGCAGAGCCAGACAGGGAAGAACACGGGCTGTAGATCTCCTCCCACCCTCCAGCTGTGTGACTGGGGCCTCAGTTTCCTCAATCTAGATGGGGATGTAGTGTTTTTCATGGGGTTGTGATCTGAATTTGGGAAGCTAATAATTGTTAATATTTTCAGATAATGTCTGGTACAGAAAAAGTGCTCTATAAGGGGCGGGGGAGATGGTTCAGTGGAATAAGCGCTTCACTGGCAAGCGCAAGGGCCTGAGTTAAATCCCCAGTTACACACACACACAAAAAAAAAGTGCTCCATAAAACATCAGCTTTGGGGAGATGGCTCAGTGGAATAAGTGCTTCCCTGGCAAGCACAAGGGCCTGAGTTCAATCCCCAGTTCTACCAAAAAAAAAAAAAAAAAAAAAAAAAAAAAAAAAAAACAACTTTTTTTTTCGATACTAGGAATTGATTCAATCCAGGGCATTCACAGTGGGCTACAATGTCAGTCCTTATTTATTCATTTATTTTTATTTTGGTTTTTAGTGACAGTGTCTCTTTTTGTAATTTAAGCTGACCTTGAGTTCACTATGTAGCCCAGGCTGGCTTTGAACTCACAGGGATCCTCCTGCCTTAGCCTTAGGAGTGCTGGGATTACAGGTGTGAACCACAACAACTGGCTCCTATTTATTTTAAAATTTGGAGACAGAGTCTCACTAAATTGCCCAGGCTGAGCTTGAATTGCCCAGGCTGGGCTTGAACTTTCAGTCCTCCTCCCTCAGCCTTCCTGAGTACCCGGATTACAGCCATACACCATACACTGGCTAGAACACCAACCCACCCCACACACACCCACTACCCCACACACAATAAACACAAGTTCTACCACAAAGCTGCACTCTCAGTCCAAACCTTCCAGCCCAGTCCCTCGATGCCACCAGCCAATATCCCACCCTACTGCGCCCCCCACACACACACCTTTCACGCTTGGGCTAGAGGATGGAGCAACATCCAGCCTCATCCTCTTCCTGAGTTCAAGGCCAACCGGATGAGGGATCCTTACAGGTCACTCCCCTGCATCCTACGAACCCTGGCCTGATTGTGCCTTGCACTAATTGTGGTTGTCCCTCCAGCCTTCTCCCACATCTCACCAACCCCAACTTCTCCCTATCATGAAACACAGGGCCTTAACTTGCATAGTGGCACACACCTATAATGCCAGCACTCAGGAAGCTGATGCAAGAGGATCTGAGAGTTCAAGACCAGCCTGGGCTACATAGTGAGTTCAAGGCTAGCCTGAGCTGCATACTGAAACTCTGTCTCAAAAAAAAAAAAAGATAAGGGTCTGGGATAGGGTGGTTACCTTGGATACCCATCTCCTTTCGACACCACCGGATGAAGTTGGAGACATTGTCCCTGGCCTGGAAGGTGCCTGGCTGGGCAGCCCTATTACAGGAAACCCCTGACTGAGGCATGGGAATCCTCTGGGCTTGGGCAGGTGCCTCTGCCAAGAAGGCCAGAGCAGCCTCGGTGACCATGTTGGCATGTTGGCACAGCACCAGGCCGGTTTCCAGCACCTGCAGGAAGTTGGCTGCATCGATGTCTAGCCCGTAGAGCTCCCGAAGCCACTCAGCTAGGTCTTCCTTCATGGCTTCCAGGTACTGTTCGCGGGACTTGAAGGGCCGGATGCTGCGCACCAGAGGCCCTGGAGCCCCACATCCCTTCTTGTGTCCTTGGAGCTGAGACATGGCTGGACTTCTGCAGGGAAGGAGGTAGGCACCTGTTCTCTCCTACTCCTGCCTTTTTAGTCCTGTTCCTCGAGTCTTGGCCCAGTCTTCTCTAATTCAGATCTTTCTCATAGACTCTGGAAGAGCCCAGGTCTGCTGGCTCTGCAACTGCTTGCTACTGGCTTCAGCCTCCAGGCCAGGTCAGGCCTCCTCCCCGCCCCCACATTCCTCAGTCTCTGCCAGAACGGTTGCTGTTTGGTGGCCTCACATTCCCACTGCCCAGTCCACTTAGAGTTCAGCACCTCCCAGCCAAGGTGGAGGTGAGGACACTCCTTTGGCCCCCTGGGGCTGGCCAGGTCAGGCACTGCTCCCACCCACTGCCACCACCAGCCAGGCTGCCTGGCATGGCTGCAGCCTCTCCGCTCTGCTTTCCTCTCCTCTCCTTGGAGACAGCGGCTGCTACAAACACTCCTTGTTAACCCTTGCAACAGGCCCACACTGCCCTGCCCAGCCGGCTTGGGCGGAGGAAGCTCGAAGAGGCTGGGCTGGCTTCTTACCAGCTGATCCTTGCCCCAGGCCGGGGAATTGGAGGAGGGCAGGAGCAGGGGTAGGAGCTGCCATGCCCTAGGGGTTTAGAGTCCAAAAGTGTTTTGCTCTAAGTCCTCCTGTGAGTGGCAAAGATGCCCTGGCCTCTCTGAGTCTTAGTTTCTGAACTGTGAAAGGTACTCTCTGCCTGTCTGGTGGTGTGAGGAATAACAAAATAGTGTACAGGAAAGTGTCAGGCTGTCAGAGCATAGAAGCACAGATCTGGGTGGGTGCGAGCCTCCCTGGTTCTTCCTGTGACAGCCCTATCTATGTACCTACCGTCTCTGGAGAACCTGCCCCTTGCCTGCTCTGGATGTGTGATTCTTCTAAACAGTTTCCTGTCATGGGACCTTACCCCTTAGGCCACAGAAATTCATCCATTCAAGATTTCTTTTTCTTTTCTTTCTTTTTTGTTTATTTGTTTTTGTCTTTTTGACACAAGGTCTCAGTATGCAGTTCAGGCTGGCCTTGAGCTCACTTTGTAGCCCAGGTTGTTCTCAAATTTGCAATAAGCCTCCTGCCCCAGCCTCCCTAGCACTGGGATTACAGGTGTGCATTACCATGTATGGTACCCATTCAAGTCTTCTCAGTGCCTAATACGTGCCAGGCACCATTGTAGCCCTGAGGACGCAGATACACAGAAAGACCAGGTCACTGTCTTCGTGGAAGCTACTTGCAGTTACGGAATGATGGCTTCCAGGTAAAGCAAAACTTCTATAGTAAGTCAGATAGTGCTAAGTGTCACGGAGAAGAATAACGATGTCAAAGAGCTGAAGGTAGGTATGCCTCATTTTGCAAAAGGTGACCAGGGCCTGCCTTCTGAGAAAGTGCTCTCTGAGCAGAGACCTGAGAAAGGTGAGAGAATCAAGCCTGTGGCTCTCTGGAGAAAGGGCACGTGGGCAGAGGGACCAGCTGGGGCCAGAACTGTGGCGCAGGAGGACACTGTGCGTAGGCTAGGAATAGCGAAGAGGAGGATACGAGGCGAAGAAGAAATAGGGCACCAGGTTGTGCAGAGCCTTGTTGATGACGTCAGAGACTTTGGCTTCTTCTCCATGTCAGATGAGTTTCGAGTAGAGGAAGGATGCTGCATGGAACGGGCACACAGACCAAGAAGGGTGGAACTGGGAAACACGCAGGCTGCTGTTACCGTCCAAGGAAGAGCAACAGAGGCTTAGGCCAAGCGGTGCCGACGGAGGGGATATTCCCTGTAACTCCTGCAGAGTTCATAGGATTGACTCAAACTGGATTTTCAGCCTTGGTGCACTTAGACTAAATAATTCTTCCATTGCCAAAATATTCTGGCATTGCCATATATCCCCTGGGAGCACCTCTCCCTGAGCTACCCAACTTAAGAGGTGAGTGTGAGACTCCAGCAGCCCCAAGAGAGCCCTTCCTGGGTCTTTTGCACTGGAGCTAGAAGGGCAGGTTCTTTCTTCTCAGTCTGACTTATAGGATTTTAGGGACACAGATCAGGAGCCAGGCTCCCAGCACATGGAGAAAACCCTTCTGCTGTGGGCAGGCATGAAGCTGGCACACAAGAGCACAGGGTTGGAAGGAAAGAGGAACTGAGGGGCTGGGACACCTGGATCTGCAGTCTGCAGGCCAGACACATGCCTGCATGTGATAGTCAGGCCCAGGTGACAGGGGGGCGCCACCACACCAGGTCTCCGAGGCTGGCTCATGGTGGTGGTGGTGGTGGGGGTTTGCAGGGCAGGTGCGGCATGTGGTGTGTGGGAACTCTGGTCCCTGAGCTATCTCGCACCTCCTCCCAATGAGGTAGAAATATTGTAGGCAGTCTGACAGGGCTAGGCCTTCAGAGGAGCCAGTATGGAAGACCAGACCTTGTATCTGTGGGCGAGAAACTCCTGCTGTGGGCCAGAACACAAGACCAAAGATCAAACAAATGAATACCTCCCTAAGGATAAACATCAGGGGTTGATATTCTTTTTTTTTTTTTTTTTTTTGATCTGTAAAAAGCTATGTTCATTTCATTTTTTTCCCCAAAATTTATCCCATACAGAGCAGAATGTCACCCACAAGTTTGTCATCCAGGGTACCTTACAGGTCCTGCCACCATGGCCCCATTAACCACCCCATCAGGAATGAGGTCCCTCAAGAAAAGACTGCTGGTTGTCAGAGCATCTCTTTATTGATGTATTTTCTTATGCTCCTTAGCTAGCTGGGCACCTGACAATGCAGTTCTTGATGTCCTCTGTGATGTCATGAGGGTGGCTGCTGTCCACATTGCAGCCCACAGACTGGGCAGTCCCCAGGATCTCCTTAATGGTTCCGGAAAGCTCTCCGGCTAAAGACCGGTGCCACATCTGTCGGGCAATGTTGACAATCTCATCAAAAGTGATATTCCCGCTATGTTTAATGTTTTTCTGCTTCTTTCTGTCTTTTGGCAGCTCCTTGAGGGCTTTGATGATCAGGGTAGAGGCAGAAGGCACCACCTCAATCTGAGCCTGACTTTCTGTCTATTCTGAATGGTCAGTTTCACCGAAATATGCAGGCCTTTCCAGTCACCAGTTGCCTTGGCAATGTCATCCCCCACTTTTTTTTGGAGACAGACCCAAGGGACCGATCTTGGGGACCAGGGCAGATGTGGCGCCAACTTCACCACTGGTGCATCCCAGGTACATGACTTTGATCTTGTTGGGGTAGAACTTGGGCGCCGTGCTGGAGGTGGCTGGTGTCAGATGAACCCGAAAAAAGTTGCACCTTAGCCTCCTAGGCAGAAGCCAAAAACCAGGGGTTGATATTCTAAATAGGTCTCTATCACCCTGAGAAAGCCAGGAAGAGTCACTAATCAACCCTCTACACACACACACACACACACACACACACACACACACCTGTCCCATATTCATTTCCACTTCCTACCTGACTGCCCCATTTGATCCTTATCGAATCAATTTTACCTGACCAACTGTGCTTGTAATCTTATTGGTGTACCATAGTTTTGTCCCACCTCATGCCCACCTTAGGGGTTCCTCATGTTTTCTACCTTCAATCCACCTGATCCAGTGGTTTTTCTCTATGAAAATCCCTAGAAAAGACAGGGTCCTTGGCAATTAACATGGGTCCCCTTCTGTCCCTTTGTCTGACAGAAGTTTCCTTTCTCCCAATTAATATATTCTGCTCTTAACCTCCATTGTTCCTAAAATTCATTCTTTTTTTTTTGTTTACAGTTTCATTTTTTGGTTTTAAAAAACACAAACTTGTTGTAGGTATCTTTCAGACAAGATGAGTTTCATCCCCTATATCACTATAACTATGAAAATGACAAAGTACTATGACAAAAATGTACTTTTTTTGCCTCATCTTTGTCTCTAGGTATGATTTCTGCAAATGTAAGAGAATTATGCTTGAGCTTGCCAATAAAGGTAGCTCATGCTTTTCTGGCGTTAAAGTACCTCTTTTGGGTAGAGGCCCAGTGCATTCGGGGGGTGTAGTCACTATCTGTGAGGTTTCTGCCTTCTCCAGGAGTCTCCAAGGTGGTCCCTGAGGCAGGAGACATGTGTAGTGCTGCTAAGATTGATAGCTGGTTCTGTTCTCACCAACTGCTCTGTGAGATTAGTCCTCTATCAATTTTCAATATGCTTTTATGCTGGCGTTTTTGAGAATCCAAATTTTAATGAAAGTCCCATCACATCCACAATAACCATGAGAAGAGGAAAACACACACCCTAAGGATGGCAAAGGTTGCTGGACAGGTTTGGGTTGGGGGCACCCTGTGGTGTCTTGATGGGATGCTCCCTGAAAGTGACAGCCGGGCCCATTGGTTTTGATGTGCCTGCTAGAAACATGACATCTTAGGGAAAGACTTGAGGAACTTGCTTATGGTGCCCATGACCAGGAATAGCCCTTGCCAGTGGCTTCCTGACTCAGTTGTTCCTGCGAAATGTTTTTTGCTGAAGGTCAGATATCCTTCCAATTTGTATGGCAGAGCTGGGATCTGGACCCAGTCTGTGAGGGTCCGAAGCCACCATCACCTCCCTTTTGATGCCCACTCCAGGGGAAGGTAGGGATGAGGCTCTGGAAAAAGCAGCTATTCCTAGGTGGGGAGCCAGATAGGCAGGCAGGTTCTAGCTCCGCCCCCTGTGATCCAACAGCAGCCCTAGAGACAGCTCAAGTTCTAAGGGTTTTGAGCACTGCCTCGGACCTCACAACCCAGTCCCTTGACAAAGGAAAGTGGGAACAATGGATAAGCACAGTAAGTGGGCTCCGAGGTTGGAGGAGGGGTGGACCAAGGATGGGACCTCTTAACTCTTGATTGGACCAAATCTGCCTGTCACTATGGCAACCCCAGAGAAGTTGAGCCTTTTCTCAATGACCTACCTGTGTAGCTACAAGTCATCTCCTTTCTTGACATCTGTTCCCTCATCTCCACCTGCTCCTGTTTGGATCTTTGTCTTCTTCAGCCTGGATCACTGTAATGACTCTGAAATAGGTTTTCTGCCATCCTTTGAGAGGAGAAACCCCAAGACACAGCTCAGAGGAAGGCTTGCCCTCAGAAGTTCAGTGACTCCTACTTCTGGGAGATAAACTGAATTCCAACTTCTAACTTTTCTTTCTTTCTTTCTTTCTTTCTTTCTTTCTTTCTTTCTTTCTTTCTTTTTTTTTTTTTTTTTTTTTTTTTTTTTTGGCAGAACCAGGGATTGAACTCAGGCTCTTGTGCTTGCCAGGCAAGCACTTATTCTACTGAGCCATCTCCCCGGACCCCTAACTTTCCTTTCAGTCCCATTTCCTATACCTTCTTCTCCCTAAAAGTCCCCAGCCCCTACCTCTGGCCATATTTCTTTCCCATTCATCCTTAATCTTTTTCTAAATAAAAGCACAACAGACTCTGACTCTCCACCATTAGAAGTGCAGAGAACTGGCAGAATGTTCAAAGTAACCTCTCTTTTAAGAGTTCAAATGTTGTGGAGCATCAGAGGCCCTTCTGTGACTCACCTCATCCCCTCCCAGAGAGGGTTAGAGAGATGGAGAAGCAAGATGGATGAAGAGTTGAGTCCAGTGACCACAAGGTGCTCACTACACGTGGACAGGAATACGATTTTAAAATCATTCCTCTTTCTTTCAGTCTCCTCCCCACCCGGGTGCTGGGACTGAATTGTGAGTCTTCACACATCACCAAACCTTTTTTTTTCCCACAGGGTCTCACTAAGTGGCTAAACTGCTAGGCTAAGTTCAAACTGGATATTCCTAACTCAGCCTCCCAGAGGGCTAGAATTTGAAACCTGCCCCACTACACCCAATTTGTTTCCACCTTTTTGCTTTTGTTTTCTGAAATAGGGTCCTGCTATGGAGCTCAGCCTGTGCTCCAACTCCTTGCAATTCTCCTGCCTCCACCTCCTGGGTGCTGGAATTACACGCACCACCTTATTGGACTCACTACCAACCTCTCAAACAAGATGGACAGAGATTTACAGAAATACTTGTTGACCTTTCCAAGGCAAACACCTAGAGTCATATCTTTTCTGGCCGCCTCCCCTCTTTTATTATAAATTTAGTTCTCCAGATCTGCTAGGAGTGGGGCGCACATGCGCTGACTGCCACATTTTTGAGGAGGCCAGTTTAGGGTCCATGTTAGGTCCAGAACTTGTGGCCAGCTTGACTGAAAAGTCTTGAGATCCACGTGCCAGCAGGAGGGGCAGTGGCAGCTGAAATGCACAGGCAAGTGGGTCAAGCCTGGAAGGAAGAAGAGGAACCTTTGCCCAATTAAGCAGTTCACTCAGGGCCCTTTTTTTGCTCAGTCGGCCCATAAAGGAGATTTTTCTAATCCTGCCTACCCTGCCACCACGGATGCTGGGCAAGATCCACCCTGAGAAAGGACATCATAGAAAACAAAATATAAACAGCCGCTGTTAAAATGACAATCAGTGTTTAGTGATAGTTTATTTGGAGATCAGGCCCGCCCAGCCCACTGGATTTGGCGGTCTCCCTGCCTGCCCCACGCCAAGCCCGAGTGGGGGGGGGGATAGGGGCTAGGGGATCAGGCGCTTGACCTCGGAGGTAGGAACTACTTTTTCTCACTCTACAGATGAGGAAACAGCTTGATTTAGAAGCGAGGAGACTTGTCTGAATGCTTTCTTAGGCAGCACCACAGTCTGGGAATGGGGCTCCAGAAAACTGTACATGCTCTGCACCTTCTAGGAGAGTCTAGCTGGCCTGGGGCGTCTCGCACGCACTAGGGTCCCGCAGGCACCTGCAGCAGGCAAGGTCCCCAGGTCCCCAGAAAGCGCCCTGAAGCCTTCCCCTCCTGCAGGCGCGAAAACTCCGTTGTGGAAGAAGGAACTGGAGGAGTCCGGGGCCAGGGAAGCAGAGCAGGAGCTAGTGGAGGAAGAGTCAGAGGAGTACGAGGACCTCGACGCGGAGCGGCTTGCCATCGAGAGCGCGGCTGGGAACGAGAAAGCGCCCCGCGCGGCGGACGTGGACAACGGCCGCGAGCGGGGTTCTGTGTCCTACTGCCCATTGCGCCAGGAGTCGAGCACCCAGGAGGTGGCGCTGCAGCCGCGTGCAGACCCTGGCTTCTGGGGCTGGTTCAACCCCTTCGCGCTGCTAAGCAGCTTGGTGGGCCCCACCGACAGGTGAGGCCAGCGCCGGGCGCGGTGTACACTGTGCCGATCCCCAGGGCGAGGATCCCTTCGACACTGAGAGCGCGGGTCCCCGCCCATAGGAGCCGCAGCCTTCCTGGGGAGCAGTGCGTGCTGGAGAAGCGGCGCTCGAGGCCGAGCCGCTGGGGCTGTAAGCGCTGTGAGGTCCTGTTCTGCAAGAAATGCAGCACTCTGCACAGCCACCCGGCCTACGTGGCACACTGTGTTCTGGAGCACCCGGATCTGGGTAGGGCGGAGGCCGCTAGGGGCTCTCAGCGCCCCGACTTCCAGCCTTTGTGCCTTCCATCCTTGCCTGACTCCCAACTCCGCTAACGGGGAGCCCTCTCAGGCACGTTGTACAGAACTATCCCCTCTCCCAGCCACAATCCCGAGCGCCCCACATCAGGCGAGAAGCTCCCTGTTGGTGCGGGCTTCCACCTGTTATCCCGAGCACCCTGCACCTACAGCCCACCAGATCCTTGTCTCTGATGCGCAGCCTTCTGCATATCTGGAAGATGGTATCGCTTCAGGGAGTCCTTCCTCCCACTGAGCAAATGCTCCCTCCCCTGGGGCATTCAATAAAGCCTCTCATCCAAGTATCGAGCCTGGAGGGGAGGTAAGGCGGCTCCAGGTGGCAGTGATGAAGACCAAGGGCTCCTTCCGCCCTGGGCGCAAGCCAGAGAGTAAAAGGCGGGCAGCGACCCTCGCCTCCCCAGGACAGGGCCGCACAAAGCACTCACTCCAAGAGCATGAAGAAAGCCAGGCCAGCGGCGTCCCTGGGGTCTGAGGCAGGGGCGGAACCCCGCCAGACCGGATTCCCCTCCCTGGAAGCAGCGGGCTGAGTGCCTAGGAGGCACCGGCAGGTGTGTGTTAGGAGAGGGCAGGGAGAGCTGAGGCACGAGACAGGGAGGCTGGGGAGCTGGTTCCTTCTCCAGGAATCCCAGCTATTCTTGGCCAGATTGCAGGAGTTTCGGAATGCTGCGTGTGTGGTCTGCAGAATGGGGCTATTGTGAGTCCCAGGCATCCCCCAAACCCGCTAGGCCTCATGGAGGGTGCTGCAGAAGTGCAGAACCCCAGGGGTATTCTGACACCCTCCCTGCTGCGCTGGACTCTTTCTGGCATGCGAGTGGAGGGGGTGGGGACACTTTGCTTCTTAGGAAGAGGCAGGCCTCTTCTCCCATCACAACTCCACATAGCCAGCCAGCCATCGCGTGGGTAGAAGAGCGAGATCCCTGCCTCTCCCACGTCCATGCCCACCTGCTCTCACCAGACAGGGCAGAGAACTGGTGCAAAAAGGCTGCTTGTCGCTTCCGGGTCCACCAGATGGGGGCGCCTCTTCATTCTTTCCCAGTCAAAAAGCCAGATTCAAGTAGGTCCAAGCCAGTCTGTCCCCCCCCCCCCAGGCCTTCGTCCCAAACAAGCTTCCTGTGGCTAAAGGCTCTGATTGTACAGGACAGAGTTTTCTAAGAATTGAGTCACGAGGCCCCAAGAGAAGGGGACTATCTTGCAAAACAGCCTCCAAGCTTCCTATTAAGCTTTGCATTCTCTCTAGTTGGACCCGACACCATCAACACACCAATAGAACTGCATATTTAGCAGAAGAAACAAAATCTCCAACGCATGGGAAAGAAAGAAGTCGCTGGGGGAAAGGGCCAAGGGTTTGGGACCCTTTGTTGCTTTTCCTTGGATTGATCCACAACTGTGTCCCTGTAGTGGGAACAGCACAAAGACAATGCCGCCTTCTCTGGGAAACAGGTGCAAATGCTCACAAGCTTCCTGGTGGCAACTTTGCTGCCTGCTCTTCTGCAGTGAGGTTTAGAGGCTCTCAGACAGGTTCTGCCCCTGGGGCAGGAGAAGTGAATTGGCCCAAGGGTACCAATGGGGGTCTTCAGAACAGGGCCCCTCCTGAGTTGGCTAGCCAGCAGCCCATCCAGGGCAGCTCGGTGGCCCAGCGACCTGAGGTGGTCACTTGCAGTTTGGCTTGGTCAAGTTGCCAGTAGTGGTCATCTCTAAAGAAGATGATGGAGCCATCAGGTCTTGGCAGGGCACCACTGACCTCCTCAAGAACACTGTCCCAATCCCGCAGGAGGCGAGGGTAGTAGGGCTCCACTTGCAGCCCTCCAGGGGCCAGCACATAGTACCGGGCACCCTTGAAGAGAATCAGGCGGTGTAGAGGAGGGAAGAAAAGGGCTGCATCTGGGTGCCGGGGCAGACGCCCTGCCCGGCACAGCTGGGAGGAACCCCACACTGACTTGGCACCCCGAAACCTCCAGCATCGACTTCCTGCCAGGAATCAAGAGAGCAGAGTGAGCTGGAGGCTTGCACTCATTGGTCCTCCACCCACCGCTGCCCCCCATCCATCCCCATACCAATTGTTAGTATTGGAGAAAAAGTGGATTCTGCTAAGAATTACCATAGTTACAGGAGAGGGTCTGTTATAGCCTAGACCTCCAACAGGAGTCAGCAGATGGCAGATGGCCCTTAGGGAACCTAACCATTCCAGGCTTGGGATGCTGGATGGGGGAGTGCAGGAGGGCAAGGATGCCTCCTCGAGTGAGTAATGGAAAATTAAGAAGGCATGGAACCTCCTTCACTAACATTACTATTGCTAATTTTGTGAAGGCAGGGATTTTGTTTTATTCACTGCTATATACCCAACACAGATGTGGAATCTGTGGAAACCTTTCTGTACTGGTTGAATGAATGAAGAAATAAATACTAGTAACCTGTCCAGTGTAGATGTAGGTATAATCTAGCAATAATACTGCACACTCGGGCTGGACAGATGGCTCAGTGGTCTAAAGCACCTACTTGAAACAAGCTTGGCAAAGCACAGGGACCGCAGTTCAGTCCTCCAGCACCACATGCCAGCCAGCCCCGCCCCCTGGTGGGCTGAGCTGGCCACACACACACACAATAAATAGATGTAATAAATAAAAATAAATAAATATTAAAAAAAATAAAAAAAAAACTGCACACTCTTTTTTCTTTTACTCTTTCTTTCTTTCCTTTTGTGGTACTAGGCAGTAGTAAGCTATTCCCTAGCCCATTTTTATTTACTTTTTGGTTTTGGTACCAGGGATTGAACTCAGAACCTTGCACTTGCCAGGCAAGCACTTATGCCGCTGAGCTACCTCCCTGGCCTGAAATTTTATTTTTGAAACAGGGTCTCACTAAGTCACTAAGTTGCCCAAGCTGGGCTCTAACTTGTCATCCTTCTGCTTTGGTCTCTCAGAGTGCTGAGATCAACGTGTTATCTTTTGTCTTTCTTCCACAAAAAAAAAAAAAAAAAAAAAAAAAACCTGAGGTATTATTTTCCATATCTATGCAATTCAAGCTCCAAAAGTTAAGTAGCACCTCAACCCCACACAACCAGAGTCCACAGGAGACACTACTCTTCCTGCTGAATTGCAGGTGTCACATCCAGTCCTCTGTCAGGTGTTCCCTCAGCTCCTCTCTAAACCACTCCCTAGAACCACCTTGACACTTGCTGTTCTCCATTCCATCCAGAAGAATCTCCTGACAGAGTCTTGCCTGGCTCCCAGATTCAATTTGGGGCAGAGACCCAACTGGGGACACACTGTGTAAGATTCCCCCCCTCTTTTGACCCTGGGTAGGGGCCTTCTCCTATGCAGGCTACAATTTTCTCAGCTGCCCATGGCTAGTACCTTTGAAGAAGTAGAAGTCTCCATCATCCAGTGTTACTGCAGCAGCCTCAATGTTGGGGGGCAGTCCTGGCCACCTTTCCTGCAGCAGGTGGGGCTCTGAGACGTTACCATCAGGGGCCACCTCCCAGAAGTGGCTCCCTTTAAATACATACAGTCGCTGTTGTCCATCTGCTCAGATACAAGAAAAACTTGAGGGAATGATTGTTGGCTCCCACCCTCTTTCCAGGAAGGTGCTGTCCTAGAACCCAGCTTCCCAAACCAACAGGCAGGAATGTGGAGGGTACAAGTGGGGCAGAGAGGAAACAGCAAGAGAAAGCAGCGCCACCAGGCTTGGTGTGAGTGTGCTACCCTGCCGAATGCATGTGGCCTGAGCATCCTCCATCCTCCATCCTCCATTCCTCCTTCCACCCGTTCTCCAGCTCTGGAGATCTTTGGAGATACAGTGGCAGGGGAAGGTGGGAGAAGAGAAGAAAGAAGCCAGGCACAGGTGATCTACCTTACCTACAGTGATGGCATCGAACGAAGAGTGGCAGTATTTAGGACCCGGGGTTTCAGGGCGTCTGCCTTGGGAGTTGTGGGGGCTCCAGGCCTCAAAGTCAGTGAACAGCTTTCCTGGGAGCTGGGTACCCACGGAGCCTCCCAGGGGCTTTCCTTTAAGGGCAAAGAGAGAAGAGGGAAAGAACAGAGACATGGGTTGAGCTATGTCGAAGCTGAAGACATCCCCTTGGTTACTTTCATGGTCACTTCATGGGAAGCACAAGGAAGGAGAGTGAGGGGCAGGTAAGAGCTGCTCTAGGTGTTGGCATTTTACTGAGAATCTTCTCTCACCCAGCACCCTTGGAAAGAGCAATCTACTGAAATACAGCTGGAAGAAGGGACCAAACAGGGATTTGGAGCTTAGAAGGATAGGGCCCTTTCCCCCAGTCCCAAGCAATAGGGAACATTAGGTCAGGTTCTGGGGCCCCAGGCTGTGACAACTACAATTAGGATTCCATCACTATCCTTAGGAGAGGAGTGAGGCAGAATCCAAACTTTAAATTTGGCACTAGCTGCTAAATCCTGGTTTGCAACATCCTAGGTGTGTGACTTCAGGCAAGTTACCTAATCTCTCATAACCCCATTCTCTTGGTTTGTGGACAAAAGATACTTGAGAGATATCCCTGAGATAGCAGCTGCCACTGTTGCCTTGGGTAGGTTTTCTAGCCTATAAAGCATGTCTGCCCCCTTTTCACAGAAGGTAAAACTGAGGTTTCTCAGAGGGGAAACGTTTTGCTCAAGAGCATCTGCCAATCAGGGATGGAAGGTGATTTGAGCCCAGGCCCTGTCCCCTGCATCTGAGGGAGATAGTGTAATGGAGGCAGGTTGGAGGTAGTAGCACTGGTGGATGACTGGTCCAGCCCACACTGGAGGAAGCGCCTTGACTATGTCCACCTCCAGATGTGGGGATACAGGCATCTGCCTTCTGTGGAGTGCAAGGTTAGCAGAGAGAAAGTGGGGGAAGGGACTAGAGCTTTGGGGTCTTGGATGGGGTCGGGGCAGGGAGACTGGGTTGGGTCTTGGTAGCCCACAGAGGAATTCCGGCCTTGGAGCGTAAGGGAAGATAGAGGAGCTGCATATGGGAATCTGCTGGGACCGATGAAGGGATGGCGGCCACGGTGGGGGTGGAGGTGGGGCAGCACATGTGCCTGAGGATTTTCAGCTTTAGGATTGGCAAGGGAGGCCAGGTGACAGGGAAGTCAGGTGACAGGAGCTCAGGAATTGGGTCCTACTTGAGGAGCCAGTGTCTAAGCCCCGGAGGCCCAAGGGACAGGGGTAAACAGGGGCTTGGCTTGGGAGCTCACCATACAGATTCTGCACGGCCAGCACGTCGTCCCAGCTGAGCAGGGCGTCGCGCCCCAGCCTCTTGTAGTAGGGCGCCATGAGTGCGCGGGGTGCAGGCGAGTGCTCGAGGCCCAGTGTGTGGCCGATCTCGTGAGCCAAGACGACGAAGAGGTTGCGTCCACGGCGGCGGCTGAGGGACCAGCGCTCATCTAAGTCGAAGTGTGCCTCACCCCGGCGGGGCAGAAAGGCATGCGCTAAGGCGCCCCCTGCAGGCAGTGCAGAGGGTCAGAGTGAGAAATTGCCCGAGAATCCCTCCCATACCTGCCCCCCAGGGAAGTGCTTAGGGCTGGGTGGGTGACTGTTTTCTGCTGTATAATTTCTCTCCAAGTCAAGTCTGGGAGAAGCAGAAGCATGGAGAGGTGAGATGATGAAGCTATAAGTCGTGGACTCCTAAGGGAAATATGGTGTAGAATCATGCAAGACTGAACTGCCTGGGTTCCATAATAGTTTTCCTGTACTAGCGTTGTAACTTTGAGCAGGCAACTTAACCTCTCCGTGCCTTCTCTTCCTGATGGGAAAATGATCATGGTGGTGATAAGCTATATAACATTGACTGGGCTGGGGCTGGCCAAATAGCTCAGCGGACTGAAGCACAGTGGCTGGGGTTCAATCCCCAGCGTGCAGTGCTGGCCCTACCTTCCGGGCACGCTGAGACAACAATTGAGACTGGGCGTGGTGACGTGTGCCTGTAATGCCAGTGCTTGGGAGGCTGAAAACAGGAGGATCACCAAGAGTCTGATCTACGTAGTGAGACCCTGTACACCCTGTACCAAATACATTTTTTTAAAAAATGATTGGACTAGACTCAAACTGCCTTAGTCTCTGAGTGCTGGGATTACTGGCTAGTGTCACCATGCCTGCTATTTTCAAAAAGACCTAGAAGGAGGGATAGTGGTTATCCTGGGAAGAGGCATCTAGGCCTGTGCTGTATCTTGCTCCAGGTCCTGGGCTTTCTGAGTGGGGGAAAGCATGCCAGTGTGTATGCTGAGATGGGTACATGGATTTTCTGAGTATACCTGTTCTTCCCTCACTCTGCCAGGGCTCCTCTGTGAGACACAGGAATGAGCAGAGAGAGCTGGGGTGGGTCTGTGATTCTCACGTGTTCAGTGGGGGCCCAAATGCAACTTATTAAATAGAGTCTCCAAAATAAATAATTGAGTAAATAAATAAGTAAACAGACAGTCTCTGTGCTTCATCTTGCACAGGTAACTTCTGCAGGGGCAGCTGACTCTGAGATCAGCACGATGGTCTGCCGTAGTGTTGGTCTACAAGCTTGTGGAGGGCCTTTCTGGGCTCAGCTTCTTGCAGCCCAGAACCCTCAGGGTAGGGCAGTTTGTATTAAAGGGAGACCTCGATAGGGAAGCACACAGGGTCATCCAAGTGCTTCCTGGTCTGAGTAAGTCTTGAACTGTGTCGGTTACCGTTTAGTGCGTGTGGTGCTCACTGGGAGGCAAAAGGACAGATTTCAGGGAGGAGAAGGCCAAATTCAAAGAGACAAAGCATCTTCCCAGGTGAGAGAGCTGCTAGTGGAGCCCCAACATGCTGTCTTAGTTACTGGACTCTGTGTGAGCGTAGAAATAAATATATAACGCAGGTGTCATGAAACATGAGCTTCATGTCAGTGTGTGTGTATGTTCTGGTCAGTTGCTGGCAAAGCCTCTTCTCCTCCCTGACCCAGCCTGGCAGCAGGCTTTGCTGCAGGTTGGCTTGATGGAAAGCACAATGGTGCAAGGGAGAAGGGGGACTGGGTTCCCCATCCATGCAGAGCTTCAGCCCCCTCTCTGAAGCTGTCTGATCAGGTTTCTTCCCTCACTGGGCATGAGATGTTCAAGGAGCCCACACTGAGTCCTGAAGGCCAGCATCTGGCAGCACAGAAAGGAACAGTTTACACTGCAGCCAGAAGCCTTGAATTTGGGGTCAAGTGGAGCCAACTGTGGCTGTGGGTATGGGAAGCCCCTGTGTGGTTGGTAGGGGCAGAACATCTCTGTGGCAGTGACTGTGGTAGTCAGCTGGGGGTAGGCATGAACACTGGATTTGCTTAAGGTCTGGGGAACAAGAGAAGCACAGGCCTGTTCTAGAGTTCTAGAGTCGGTGGGTGGGTAATGGGGCCTCAGAGGATTAGCCCAGAATGTAGTACTCTTTAGAATTTGCAAAGCACTTTCCAAGCAGAAGCTCATCTGACTGTCCCTGCAGACAGGTGGTAGACACCACTGTTCTATTTTACAGTCGAGAACATTGGGGCTTCTAGCGAGAGGGATAGGGGTTGGCCTTGGCCACAGTGAGAGTGGATGCTCCATTGCCACCCCCACTTGGGCTAGCTGGGATCCCCTCCTGCCATATGAAGAGAGCCTTTGTGTCGGCACCTGGACCGTCGAAGGCATTGCTCAGTCCATCATTGTGGTCTCCTTGGAAGAAAGTGAGGCGGATGTCTGCAGGGGCTGTGGCTGGGGCCTCCCAGAACTCCAGGGCTGAAACATTGCTCCACAGCTGGAAGGCAGCACGCACAGCACCCCGGACTGCCTGCTCGGGCAGGCGCTCAGGCCAGTTCACCAGGCGGTAGGAGAGGTGCTGTTTGTACCACTTGTTGCCTGCCACCCAAAAAGCCACATCAGTCAAACCTGGTCCCCATGGGCCCCGAATGATGTAGTACTTCATGGGCAAAAAGACCCTGCCCTGAGTAGCCCCATTTGACTGGAAGATCCCATCCTTGCTGAGGGAATCCAGCCAGTCCTTGTTGGGGTGAGTTGCCAGCCTAGTGGCTTAGCCTGGGGATGGCAGAGATGTAGCCTCTGCCCTGTAGAAGTACCTACCTGCAGGAATCTGAAGTCCTGGTCTGGGGCCTTAATCATCTCCACAACCTGCCCTGAGGCTGAAAAAGCTGTGTGCCTATTGCTGGCAGCAACTCCCAGCCCCTGGGTGCAGCGGCAGTGAGGTGAGGCACTGAGGTCACGGCTGTGACTGCCCTTTCTGGTCTCTGCACCCTCACACCCTCCTGCCACCTCCCAGAGGCTCCACCTTGCCCTTTCAGTCCGTGGTCTGCAGCTGACTACCAACCGTAAGACCCATAGTTGTAGTCTTTCTCTGCCCTGTGCCCTCCTCCTCACTTCCTTGGGGACTCTGCGGAGCTCTGAGGTGAAAACAAATAAGAACAAAGGGTGTGTTTTGTCACTGACCCAGGGAAAGTTTTCCACCCCTACTTAGTTAAGAGTTTCCCTCCCTTTTTCCGAAACGTCAGTTCCTCCCGGAGAGCTGGGCCTCTGTCTTCTGCTGGAGCCCCAAGTCCACACCCACACCCGGGAGCAGAGTGGCTAGGAGCCCTGCCCTGGAGCTTCTCTTGGGCTCTTTCTGAGCCCTCCAAACTCATAAGCTGGGACAGTGATGCCAAGGGATAGACTTGGAGCTGGGAGGCAGGACTGCTGGGCTCAGGTTGGGGTAACTGAGACCCAAGGGAAAGGGCCTGTCCAGAGTCACAATGAGTGAGTAGCTGATTGGGGCCCTGCCTGCTGGTCCAGGGCTCTTTCCATTGTACCACACAGAAAAGCCGGCACAGTGGATAAGACTCCAGGCTTATGAACCTGCCCAGACAGTGCAGCTACTCTGAAACAGCTAGGACTCTAAATAGCAGGGAAGGTCTCAGGGAGCAGAGGAGCTGGGCTCCCTGGCCGGCCACCCATGGAAGTGGGGGAGGGGACCGTCCCTTCTCCTACCCTTGAGCCAAACTCCATTCAAGGCAATGCTGCTTCCCTGGGCCTGTTTGGCCTGGCAGACACCCAAACCCTGCCTCTCAGCCAGGGCCCAACCCTAGGGCTGGGAAGAGAGAGGCTGATTCTGAGAAAGTGGGGGAGGAGGAAAGGTTAGGGGTCCAGAGGTATAGCTGAGGGTTTATTTTTTACCAGAAGTATTCTACTCCTTACTATAATGTCTTCACTGGGCACAGACTGGCCAGCACTGGACCCTTTCACACCCTGGTGTGTGTGCTGACTTCCTGGCTCTTCCTCCCCCACCATAAACATACAATTCTCTAAGAAGTATAACTTGACATCTATTCCTGGGTAATGGAGGGAGGGGCTCACTGGATGGATAAGAAAAGGGAAAATAGGCAATTCTTTCATGTTAGTTAGTGGGTGAAGATGGCTTGTCTCAGGCGGGGTGTGATGGCACCCCTGTAATCCCAGCACTCAGGAGGTTGAGGCAGGAGGATTGCTGTGAGTTGGAGGCCAGCCTAGGCTACATAGTGAGTTCAGAGTGAGCCTGAACTACATAATGGGCTTCTGTCTCCAAAAAAAAGAAGAGGAAGAGGAAGGGGAAGGGGAAGGGGAAGAGGAAGGGGAAGGGGAAGGAGGAGGAG